TGCCTGGCAAGCGCAAGGTCGTGAGTTCGGTTCCTGGTACCAGAAAAAAAAAAAACACAACAGTTAATAAGAAAATAAGAAATATAAATTTTTTTATATTCATTGTCTTTCATTTCAAAATTAAGAGCCTCTTATTTTTAATTTTCTATAAATTTATCCCTTTAGTAATTTTCCTTTCTTTTTAAGTGTAAGTACTTAAGAGAAAATTTTGAGGCCAATATCATGGAACAAGAACCCGTTTTCCTAAAAAATATCCCCTAGAAATGTCATATAAGACACTAAGTTAGATTATGGGTCTGACTCAGGATGGCATATCTGAATTTACTCTTTATGTGAATTATATTATGGGAGACACTAGAGAAGATGACAATTGCCAAATCTGAATTTTAAATCACTGACCATTTGCCGCTTAGAAGAAGATTGTCATTCTCAGGGTACAGCCAAAAGCCAATTTTCTCAAGAGAAATTGATCCTACAAAAGAAAGCTTTCAAAAATTTAGAAATATACTGTCTTCACCACAGGACAAAATCACTGTTGATTATAAGTAACATAATTCCATAAGTATATTTTCCATTGTAATTACTTGTCAGTGCTGACTTGTAGATTTCAGCTTAGAAGAGATTTTCATTAGGATAAATATTTGTAGTTATTGAATATTCATATTTAAAAGCCATTCTTACCTGTGAAGTAAAGAAGGCCGGTAAGAGAGATATTTTCATCATGTTTCAACCTTACAAAAAAACTTTAAAAATTATTATCTATAGGAGATGGAGGAAGGAGGATTGCTGTGAGTTCAAGGCCAGCCTGGGCTACATAGTGAAACCTTGCCTCAAAACAAAAAGGCCAGGGATATAGTTCAGTGACACAGCACCTGCCTGGCAAGTGTAAGGTCCTGAGTTCAATACCCGGTACAAAAAAAGAGAAGCACACATTATACAAGGAAATTATTTTATGAAAACAAAACCCTCTCCATTCAACAAATAGTCTATCTAAACATTTTTTGACTGTATTCCAATCACATAGTTAATAATTAAACAATAAATCAGAAGTATAGTGACCTTGAATTAAAATTGTGTCAAAAATCTTCAGGATTCAAGTATTTTTATCTTATTACCTGTATATGTCTTCCAACTGCAGATCAAAATCACTAAGTTTCTTCTGATATTTCTCTGTAAAGTTGCAGAACTCAGTAAGGATTGAAGATTTCAGTTCAGGGTATGGGCATTCTAAAGTTTCTAATTCTGCAGGCAGTTCACTAAGTAAGTTAGTTTTTTCTTCTAAAGAATAACTGATTATCTGAAAAAAAATTGTACAATTATTTTATTTAATATAAATGACCAAGTGGTAAACAAATTCCTAGCTGCATCCCGCTTACTTTCACACTCCAGCCTGAAAGATCATTCTCTATGTTCTGTTGCTCCCGGCTGAGGCTTTCAAAGACAGCTCTCAACTGTTTTTTCACAAAGCCAACCTAGAAGGCACAAACAGTACGCAAATTAGTGTGATTCATCCAGTATGTATTCTTAAAGACAACAATTATTCTCAAAAGTTAGTAAGCGATGAAAAATGAAATAAGGGGAAAATCTCTTTGAGGACATGCGAAAGAAATGCTGGCCAGGCAGGGCTTATCACACAAATGAGCCTCAGTGAGGCTTTCCAGACACATAACCAGCAAGGGGGTTCACTCTGCAGTCACAGCCATCCTGTACCCGCGTTTGGATTTGTTCATGATAAGGCAGAGAACTTAGCAGATTCTCTCTACTTCAATTACCCCTCCTTTCCTTCCTATACATTCTTTTTTTATTTTAAAGATAAAAAAACTAACAATAATGAAAACAAAATAAAAACAACACAAAAACAACTAAAATGATACATGACCTCCAAACAAAATGATAGGAATTAACAATGGTTGCTACATTACCTCTGTTATTTTCAATGAAGTTGCTCAGTCCACCAGAAATAAGAATGTAAGATTAATCAAACAAGCAAAGACAGCAACGAGTAATTAAAAAAAAACATTGGAAATGATGCAGAGCCTCACCATATGAGATGGTAGGAGTTCAATAACGGTTCTTATACTACATACTGTTGTTTTCAGATCAGTTGTTCCAATTACCAGATTCAAGCATGCAGAATTGGTCAAGAAAAAAGAAAATTTTAAGCATTGACTGTTCCTTTCAATAAACCAGAGACAAC